CAGCTCCAGAAAGACGTGTTAACCTAATCCACACTACAGTAGCACATGTGCCTCTGAACCATTACCATTGAAACTGCAATTTCAGAGTCACTATGTACACTAATCTCGATATTAAAGCACTGGTAGCTCTATTTGCGATTGTGCTACTGTAGATGAGTTTAGAGCACCATAGAATGGTGATATATAATATTAGGTTTATTTAGGAGCAAAAAAAAAAAAAAAAAAAAAAAAAATTAGAAATGACCTATCCTGGATTCGAAATCTGGGCTTAAAGACTGCCATCCAGAAGTGCTTCTAATTACATCATGAAAGCATGCGTTGAGAAAAAAGAAAATTCCGTACATTCTTCCCCATTTAAAAGGCAGTTGGGGAGGTGGTAACCTAATCGCCACCTGCTGGTGGTGAAGAATTATCGTCTACCACATTTTAGTTTGGGAACCACTTGGTTAGTTGGTTGAGCCTTTAGGTATTTATTTGAAATAGAAAATATCAGCGAATAACCGCCCCAGGATTTGCATTCTGGACTTCCCTATTGCCAGCCGAACGTGCTTCTAATTAGAACACGAAGCCAAGCGGTAAGGAAAGAGAAAATTAGTGACTTAGTATCTTATTTTATTTTGGCTGCACACAGTTCCTATATGTAGCTAAGCGAATTTCCCGGTCAGTAGCATAAATCCCAACCTTCCTAGTGGACAGCGTGCTTCTGCTCCTGTAAAATATTGCGATTTAAGAAGTCATCCACGATAGCTGATCAGTTCTGCAATTATATAAATAATAAAAATTAAGAATGAAATGGAGAAATTAATGTAACGTTAGTACAAACAAGAAGATGCAACAAAAAGATCAATTAGGAGATCACTTAGGGTCCGGTATTGTACAGCATGCACATATACGTAGCATGACATCTATGGGGTGTAGGAGAGGGATATAAAGCATGGTGTATGCTCAAAACATGAACGGAAGCTACTGCACGGTACATTCGGTTTTAACAACATCGATTTGTAGTCTCAGCGTGACAGTTCTATAGACAATATCTGGACGACTTTGTCTGGAAGTTTGAAAGAAGGCCAAAGTGCGACTATACACATCATGTCAGTAGTTTGGATTACATTTCGAACAAAGGGAGCAGCTATCTGAATGTTTAGTAATGCTCATTGCCAAATTAGACTTTTATATGCCCGTAGCACTTCAAAGATTTTGCTGCCTCCACATACATCTATAGTATAACGCCTCTTTCTCATCATTCCCTCTTTCTCGGGCTTGGATTAACTGCACTAGGATTCCCTTCTAAAATCTGCAGTGAGAATTTTATTTTTGTGGAGCCTTTGCACTCTTTCTTTGAATCTTTAAGCACCTTTTTGTAACGCCGCCTTTACCTGAAGCCCTAAGCATCACGTGCTTACTTTCCTTAATGGCTAATCCAACTCTGGTAGTGGTTTTCCACAAACAACCACGCCAGGATATGAAGAACTGATATCTTCTCTTACAGATGATGAGTTGGGTTCAGTTTATTTAGTTATGGCGAAACATTCGAGGGCTACCTGTCTAAGGGAAGGGATGGCTTCGTGAAAGACTTTCTAAGGGAAATTGGACTGTATATAGGTTACACATATGGAAACCATAAAAACGCTTAGTTAGCAGCCAATCTGCTCGCCGGGATTCGAGCCCCGGCCCGAGTTTATCAGCTTTACCGCTCGGCCACTGGAGAGCCGTCTTTAGATGATGCGATATCTATGCTAATGACTCCCATCATCTGGTGGTGGTGACAGTGGGTGACATCCTAAGATGCATGCAATCTATTACTGGACATCCAATATGGCTAAAGACTTGGCTATAGTTTTCAGCGCCTAAAGACAACTGCAGATTTCGTACACCCTTCTGGGCCCACCAGCGACCGAGCGGTAAAGTCGCTGAACACTGGTAGTTCGGTCCGAGGTTCAAATCCCGCGAACGGGCTGGCTGCATGGGCGTTTTCGTGGTTTTCCCCGTGTGTAACGTGTATACGAGCCAGTTTCCCTTAGAAAGTCCTCCACGAAGGCATCCCTCCCTTTAGGCAGATAGCCCTCGTGTGCTTTGCCTTAACTCAACACACCACCGTACACCCTTCTGTTTTCTAAGTATGGAAACTGTTTCATTCTAAAACTTCGTCAGTTTGGCATTTCCGTGACACTACGCCCAGGGACAGTTGTCCACCCTCGCCCGTCTCTAGCTATAACACTGATATCACTACGAAACAATCTCATGGTGTTTTGATCGCTTTGCGGACTTTCATGCCTTCTCGTCGGAGGCAGTGTCTTCTGTAGTGTTGCAAACAAAAGATCTGAGTAGCTCCAGTGGAGTGGCGAGCATAACTGGCGCCCGGGGCAAAATACCTTTTTGGCGCCCCCCTTCCCCGAAAAAAAAACACAGTGATATGATGAAAATCTTGTTTGGAGACCATTTGGCGCCCCTCTGCGAGCGGCGCCCGGGGCATCATACACCCCCTTTACGCCACTGAGTAGCTCAGCAATGGAGTTGAGTTTTAAGGATGATAGCAGCAGTCGCTGGCAAGACTAAACAGGGAAAGGGGGGTGTCATCCAGTTTTCTAGGACAATAGAGCAGCCGCTGCAGTATTATATGAGGGGTTATCATTCCGGTTCAAGAATAAGATAACAGCTTTAATCTTCCGATATTTAGATTATCTAGCCATTCTGGAAGTCTAAATATCTAGATAAAGCAGAGATTATGCAGTCGTCCCTCTAAGATCATCGAAAGGAAACAGTTTGCAAGTGCTCAAATTTTAAATTTTATATTTAGATAGTTATTTACTATTATACTTCCTTTCTTGCATTAGGGTTGCCACAATTATTTTTGGCAGTATTGACATCAACAATAGTTTGGCGATTTTTTACGGCCCTCAAAACCAAATACAGTCAAAAGTCGTTAATCCGGACTCGTCGGGACTTCGATGATTCCAGATTATCGATTTTTCCGGATTATAGATCATCAGTTTAAATCTTGTAAGATGGCATGCAGAAATTCTAAAATTAAAAATATGAAACCGTAATTTATGAAATAAAGAACAATTATGATCTAAAGGGTATCAAAATTTGCAAAAAGTAAAAGCTTAATATTTATTTGTTTACTTTATTAAACATTTCTTTCAATGTAAGTTGTTTAAGTTTTGCTTCGTTTCATGTGATAATACTTTCTCTTTAATTCTATTAAACAGACATAATTTCTTGTTCAGTTACAAAGTTCTGCCGTTCAAGTCCTATAATTGCTGTGTCAAGAACACCGACTAATTTGTCAATCGAAATTTTTTGTTTTCAATAACCTCTGTTCACTTTTCTTCGCTATCGGAAGCGAATTATAATGACGAGGAACTTGTTTTAAATCATATCAAAGACGGAGCATGCATCGAGATGAAATACTACATTTGGTTAAGGCAATTATAAGCCAAATAAAATTAAAAACATCTGTGCCTTGAAGATAAGGATAGTGATGATAAATCAACTTCCAAATTCATTGTGCGCCGAGGCATTCCCCGCCGCCGAAGCAGCGTGAAATTGATAAACAGATTTCGGATTTCAAAACATACTTTCGCTTTAGATCCTTTACATATTAACAAATATATATATATCGGAAATTCTATTTGATATAATCGAAAGTTTAAGCTTACTTTTTAGAAAATTGCTCTTACAGTCTGGAAAAAGTAATAAGCCGGATGCAATTCGAAAATTAAGGAACAACGCAATCATCAACATTAACTGAAATAGATAATTAGATAATTTTAGCTTATACGTCCATTATACATAAAATGCGCACGTGAAAACGTATTCTGCACTTGCGCACACTCATATGCGCAGTCGTAAAAGGTGTTACGCGCACGCGTGAACGCCTCTGCGCATGTGTCAACGTGGCGCATGCGCAGAAAGTTTTTAGTTTTGATGTCCGGATTATAGATCATTCCGAATTATGGGTGTCCGAATTAACGACTTTTGACTGTACTAGCCTATTACTGATATTACACAGTATTATTATTGTATTTTCAGTTTATTTATAATGTTAACTATGTTCAAACAAATTTAAAATTAATATTTAAAACAATTTTTTACAATTAATATTTTTAAAATATTAATACAGATTTAATGTTAATATCAAAACCAAAAGTAATACCAAATTTCTTTACATAAGCAAGTGCGACTAAAAATAAACATGTCATATCAGAAAAAGTCTGATTTTGAGAAAAATATCTATGTTATACAGTTATATATATATAAATACAGTTTGCACCCATTCTATTTTAAAAGCTTGATTTTTGTTGATCTATAATCCTTTAAAGTTGTGTATAATAGAAAATCTGCATTCATAATATGTGAGAGAACTTACTTTTAATATTTCTTGCATTACACTGTATTTTTTTGGTACTGTATTTCAGTGAACTCAAACCTGCAGCCCAGGAAGCAATTTTATGCCACCCACGAATGCATTTTAATTATGTATATCTTGCAGTTACAGTTCTTAACAATTTTACAATTGCCGCATTGGTACAATCAGTAAATTTAGTTTGCCAGTCTAGTGGCACTTCGGTATTCTGGTGTTTCTAGGTTTCTGGCATAAATTAAAAGTAAGTTATTTAGTGATTCATCAACATATTGAAATTACCTGAAAAAAGTCGGTCTAAAATTTAATATTTAGCTGTAAGTAAGTTTGAATTACAAAGTTATAACCAATAGAAAGTTCTTGCAGGTACTGATGTTTAAACTTCTGGTAGAATATAGATATAAATTTGAGTTTTTTCCCCTTTACATTTTTACTATTATTGTTTATGTATGCTTTAATAAATATCTAGAAGTGGAATTTAAAACTGAGTTTTTTTAAATAATGTTTTTAAATTTTTTGAAAAAATGGCCCGACAGCTGTTATCAGATTGTGCATTTGGCCCTCAATTCATTTGAGTTTTTGAGACCGCATCTGTTTTTCAAAATTGACACCAATGTTTTTTATTTATTTATAGGTAGGATAAAACAGCTTATAGATATAGGATACTTGCGAACAAATGCAGTTCGCTTATTTGTCCTTGATGAAGCAGATGAACTTCTCAGAGCAACATGTACTGGAGATATTGAGTGAGTCACATAAATTCTTTTGTTTTTAATCAAATCTTGATAGCATAATTCAGAATGCCATGTTTTAAAAAAAAAAAGGACTCTAGACTGCTTGCATAAATATTGATTGATGCTAGGTCAATATTTACAGTTGTAAATATTTTAAGAAGCAGAATAGTATAGTCTCAATGCACTGAGTGAGATGAGATCGTGAAAGAATGTATGAAAAAAATTAATTTTTATGCATGGTTCAGTAAAGTTTTCTCTTGGCTGCCGAGAAATCTCTAGTACCTTCCGTCTCTCGAAATTACTGAAAGGCATGCATATCAGCTAAAGTTACATATGAAAGCCAGATATGGTTACACTTACATGTAGGGATCAATTACAGTTATGCAGGAACCTGTACGAAATGTTGCTAAAAAGATCAGCAACAACAAAAATTAATTGCCAACTTGGTGATTGATATCTCTCCAATTTAGCAAGATAGCCATATACTACTTGCCTTTGTAATCTTATTTTTCTGGCAAAGCTTTGCTTTCTTCAGGCTTTTCATGCTATATTATAGAAAAGATAATGTAATTTCACATATAATTTACCTAAAATTATTTACATACACACAAATTTCATAATATATGTTACAATGAGTAAATTTTGTAGTTCTCACTTAGTCATATTGTATTTATTTAATAGAAAGTTATTGCCCTTACTGTAGAATAATTCATTCAAAAGCATATAAATCTTTTTCATAAATAAGTCAGTATCAAAATCATCAAAATAAGTTAGTTCTACTTATTTTGATGTAACCGAATCAATGCAGTTGTTGCAAACATTATAAAATACATTGCACTAAAGATTGAAATAATGTATGAAACCCAAATTGAAACTAGTTTGAAGTAGCTTTTAAAACTTGTAACTGTAAAGTTGAATAATTACTGCCATGTATCAGAAAAAGCTTCACATAGCAAAGTTTATTATATTTTTGGCTTTGTGTCATCCACTTGTTGGTACTGTCAGGATATATCAATATGTTTTCAGATATGCATGTTAAAAATTTTTACAAAAACATAATGAAGATTTTTCTTTACTATTGTAATTTTGTTCTGCTTTTAAAGTACTAAAATAAATCATTTTAAATATGTAAATGGGATTTTTAAGAAATGAATGTATTAATTATGCTTATGTTGTTATTTTTCTAGTTGGATATTTCAGACACTTCCAGAAGATAAGCAAGTAATAGCAGCTAGTGCTACTTATCCAAAAGAACTCGAAGCAATTATTAATAAATATTTCAGGCAACCCTATGTTATTCGTTTGAATATTGATGAATTATCTCTATTAGGTAAGTATTTCTGTGCGAATGCAATTTGTTCTGTGCTCCATTAAATTTGAACTATTAAAGATTTTATAATAGCGATATTATGTTGTATAGTCAACTTTCATTAAAACTGTGTGGGAGCCATTGAAATAACTAAATTTATCTAGAATTTTAGCTGTCTGAAATAGTTTATCATAATTTAATGAGGTTGCATGAGATTTTCATTGCTTTCACGGGCAGTTTTGATCTTGAAGATGCACCACATTCTGGAAAGCGAGTTGAAGCTGAAGAAGACACAATAAAGGCATTAATTGATACAAACCAGAAAATAACGACTCATGAGAAAGCTGAGAGATGAAACTTATCGAATTCGACCATTCATGATCATTTGAAACACCTAGGTTTAATCTCAAAGCTCGACATATGGGTTTCTCATGTTGTAGCTTCTCATATTTTTCAGATATAGCTTGCTTCAACTGGCTTTCCAGAACATGGTGCATCAGAACTGCCGGATCGAAATTTTGCAAACCAGTTTTGTCACTGGTATTCTGTCAGTATATCTTCTCCATACACATCGGATAATTTTTTTCTTGCTTGAAGAGCATTTTTATCTTTTTTATTGTAAAAAAGGAAAATATGCTGAAAATGCTGCTTTTTTCACTTTTCATATTTAAAAGGATACCAACCAAAAACTACCATGTAGAATTAATCAAATTTTTTTCACAAGCAAGCCTTGCTATATCAGCTGTCAAAATATATAATAGTTATGCACACAAAATATATAGTAGCGTGAAGTTGGCTGTAAAAAAGTGCAATTAACCCCTCTGTTGGGGAAAAATGAAATTTCTTTCTGAACAACCCAATATATTCGCCAAAATATTGTTGATTATTGAAATTCAATTTTTAATCTTTAAGTAATGAACTTTATTTTAATATTATTCATATCATTTAATGTGGCTTCTTCCTTCTAAATTTATTTATTATTAGTTAATAATACTTTGAAATTTCAGCCCACCAGCGGCCGAGTGGTAAAATCGCTGAACACTGGTAGTTCGGTCCGAGGTTTGAATCCCATGAACGGGCTGGCTGCATTGGCGTTTTTGTGGTTTTCCCCATGTGTAATGTGTATACAAGCCAGTTTCCCTTAGAAAGTCCTCCACGAAGGCATCCCTTCCCTTAGGCAGATATCTCTAGTGTGCTTTGCAGTATTCTCAATACACACACACTTTGAAATTTCATACAATTTTCTCTGGCATACTCCTGAAACTACCGTATATACCCGCGTATAAGTCGAGATATTTTGGGCAAAAAAAAAAAGACTTCAAAGTGGGGGGGGGTCGACTTATACGCGGGGCCATAAAAAATTAAAAGAATCGGAAGTTCAAAAATTTCTTTGTATAATGCAGTTGTTTTCTTCCCGCACTCGAATTGGACAACTTATGAAATAAGTCACTTACTTGAAGTAATTTCATGACTTAAATTATGTGACAAACTACAGTGGTGGCCAAAATTGTGGACACTTTTGGAAATTTTTATGTTTTTGCCCCTGAAAAATGCGAATGCCTGTGAAATACCCTCTGAATGATTATAAAATCATTTAAAAAATGTTGTATTAGCAACGAACTAGATGGCACGGAAGATGATGCTGTTTTTTGAAAGTGAAAATGACGACGAAGGCTGTAGTAGTGATTGTAACAGTACAGAGTTCGAGACTGAAAATATGTATGATGACGAGCCAATAACGACAGAAGAGTTCTATGAAATGTTTGGCGAATCTGACCATGAATCAGACGTTGAAGGATTTTGATTTTGTTTATTTACCAAGGTTTTTCTATCGTATATTTACTTTTTTTTCAGATGATTTTGAATAAATGTAGTACTTAAAAAAAATTTTCAAAGTTTCTCGATCGATTTCGGAAAGTGGGGGATCGACTTATACGCGGGTTTCTTATTTTCTACGAATTTTTTATGTCGAAGTAGGGGTTCGACTTATATGCGAGTATATATGGTAATTCTAGCAGTATGATGGCATACTGTCATGAAATTTTATGCACATATTTTTTGCTTATGTGTGCTGCTAAATATAAAATACCTGAATTTATTTAAAAATATCATTAAATAGATTTCTTTTGTTTAGCTGCCAAAAAAAAAAAAAAAAAAAAAAAAAAAAAAAAAAGGACATTTCGTAATTCAGATTGGGAAGATTCTAATCTCATCTTTTGTGGAGAAAACAACTCCTATTATAATAGTAATGCTTTGGGGATTATGTACGTAGCTACGTAGCTTTTTTTTTTTTTTTGCCTGTTGCATTCACCAGCAGATTTGTGAAGTTAATGGAGCTACTGCCATGAGTGAAGGGAAAGTGCGTAAGTGGGTCAGACTTCAAAGCTGTATGTAACAGAGTTCATGATAAGTCCCACTTTGGTTTCCCATCTGTGATTGCAGATGGTATAGTGGCTTCAGTTGAAGCAAAAATTCTTTAGAACAGATGCTTCACCATAAACACTCTTTCAAACAAATTTCCTGAAGTGTCTAGGTCAGTGCTGTACAAGATTGTTTCTGTACAGCACTGAAAAATTATGGCTCTGAAAAGTTAAGAAACTGTGCTCCCATTGGGTCCCTAAACTCCTAACGGCGAACCACAGATACAAAAGATTTGAATGTTCGCTGAATTTTTTTAATCGTTATAACGAAGAAGGTGACACCATGATGAGTAGGATCGTAACGAGAGACAAAATGTGGGTTTTATGTGTCACTCCAAATAGAAATAACAGAGCAGGAAGTGAAGACACGCACACTCTCCTGTAAGGGGCAAGGCCAGACTCTGTCCCAGTGCAAGATTGTAGCGTCTTTGTTTTGGGATAGGCATGATGTTTTGTTGGTCAGCTTAATTTAAAATGGAACCATCATAAATGTGGTAGCCTATGGTGAAAGTTATGCTGAGCGATTCTAAACAAAAGACGCTGCATGCCGACAGAGGAAATTTTGCTACTCCATGACAATGCTAGGCCTCACACCACAGCTCAGACCCAAGCTTTATTAGACTGTTTTGGTCCCCCCACCCTATAGATCAGACCTTGTGCCGAGCAATTTTAATCTTTTCTGCTATCTCAAACATCATCTCGGGAGCAACCACTACAACAATAACAAAAACTTGAAAACGGCCATGACCTCTTGGTTATCGGAGCATTTAGCATGTTTCTACGAAGAGGATGTTCAAAATCTAGTTCTAAGGTATGATAAGGGTTTAAAAGAACTTGGCAACTGTGTTAAAAAATAGAGAAACGTATGTAAAATCTGAAAATAAATTTGGTTTTTGAAAATTTTCTTTCTTTTAGTTTTTATTTTGAAACGGCCCTTACTTAAAAAACACTTCTTGTATATATATAGTTATATGTAATTGGCAAATTTTTGTGTTTCAATTGGTACCGTAATTAGTTTACCTCTCAGCACAGCCACTACAGTAATTTTCTTAAAATAAACTTGGAAAAGTCAGGGAATTTCATTCTTTTGTTTGAGTGGCAATCCTGATCCATGGGTATTTTTAATTATTGTAAAAGAATGCTTTAGATGATTGAATGCTCAATAAAGCAGAAATTAGCAACAGGAACTGGCTTGATATAAATAAATTTGCAATAGTATAGCTCCACTGCCAAACAAAACTTTATTGTAATATGAAATCATTTTTTTCCTGCCATTATACTTTCATTAAACTGTAGTTTTCATAATTTTCATTGTAGTTAAGACAGTGGTTTAGTATAGGTGTTTTTGTGATATGCAGTTATTTTTTAGGTACTGTTCACTATGCCTGTCTAGTTGATGAATGCAAAATGCCTGTTTTGGCTTACAAACTGAAACTTGAAGCTCTGAAGAAATTATTATGTGCTGTGAAATTCTCACAGTGCATAGTATATTGTAACCTTGTTTCGAGGTATATTTTATTATCTTTTGTTGATTTTTATATTTTAGTATATATGTCACTTCTGGTTAATCAATCATTATCATCTTTGAATGTTAACCAGTCAGCATATTTTTCCTTTGCTTTATATACATTGAAGGGTAAAAAATCCTAACACCAAGAAGGAATTGTGCTAGATAAATGAAATTTGGTAAGCATGTTTATACTTATGAAAGATGACATCTATTCAGATTTCGTACTTAAGGCATAAGTGTGCCAATACGAGAATGCAAGGTCAGGTTTACTTTAAATACTCGTTATAAAGTTCGTGAGCATTATTTATCATTGAGATCTGACATAGTGAGTTAATGTTAGTCAACAGTGCCTTTAAGAAGACGAAGAAGTCGCTGTCAACAGCTCAGTGAGTTTGAACTAGGTTGTGTAATAGGGCTATTAGAAGGTGGATTTTCTTTCCACGATATTGCAGAAAGACAGCAGGAATGTATCCACTGTGTATTATTGGTTGGCAGCATTGGTCAAAGAAAAGTATTGACTCAAAAAGACCAGCTTCCAGGCGGCCACATGACACTAGTAAGAGAGAAGATCGATATGTTCATTGTATAGCTGTGGCGTGTCATACTGTGTCTGCAGCAGAAATTCGAGCTGTAGTTGGCACTACAGTGACCTGTTACAAATCGGTTACTTGAAGGACAGCTTTGAGCCAGATGTCTTATAGTGTGCATTCCACTGATTCCAAACTACTGCTGTTCGCGACGTGTGGTGTCAAGCTAAAGCTCATTAGAGGACAGAGAGGAACTCTGTTTTTTTTTTTTTTTTTTTTTTTTTTTTTTCCCTGATGAAAGCCAGTTTTGCTTTGGTGCTAGTAATGGGTGTGTGTTGGTTACAAGGAAGCCAGGTGAGCATCTGCAACCAACCTGTCTGCGGCCTAGACACACTGAACCTACACTAGGAGTTATGGTCTATGGAGCAATTTCGTATGACAGCAGAAGCACTCTTGTGGTCATCCTATGCACTCTGTATGCAAATTTGTATATCAGTCTGGTGATTCACCCTGTTTTGCTGCCATTCATGAACAGCATTCAGTGGGATGTTTTGCAACAAGATAAAACTCGCCCTCATACTGCTGTTGTAACCCAGCATGTTCTGTAGAGTGTCAACATGTTGCCGTAGCCTTCTATATCACCAGATCTTTCTCCAATAGAGCACGTATTGGACAACTCCAACATTATTCACAACTAGCATTAACCATCCCTGTGTTGATCGACGAAATGCAAGAGGCATGGAGCTTCATCCCACAAACTGACATTCAGCAACCGTACTATATTATGCATGCATGCTTGCATTTAAAATTCTGATGGTTATACTGGTTTTTAATGTATGAGCATTTCACGTTTTAAATTGCTTTTCGCACATTTGAATTAACCCATGAACCTGATAATTTAATCAATTAAATATGTTACATAGACAAATGTATTTCTGAAATTTCATTGTTCTACAATAATTTTTTCTTGGTATTCGGATTTTTTCTCCTGTCATTATACATTAAAGATATTATATAATTACAATGTTACTAATTAAAAAATGTGTTTGATTTTTCTCGTACATATTAAACACTGTGATCTAAAGTGTGTAACTATGCCTATAGATGACTGCTTTGTGGTTAATTTCCTAAAAGAATCACTTACGTGAGCTCAGTCACAAGTTCATTGCCCTATCCTGTGTAGAACTGCATTGAGATGGGAACATAACATTGAAATATGCCTAACAGGATGGTGTGGAAGAAAGGGAAAGGCAATAGCCATTTCCCAAGCCATGAAATCATCCAGACGAAGATATGCCTCCAGATTGAAGTTAGTGGAGCTAAAGTAGCAAATCATATGATGTGTAGGTAAAACAAAAAATAGAGAAAAACATATGGGAAAGTCCATTGTCATGAAAAGGATAATCTTGAAATGTTAGTGTAAGCAGTAGCCAGGGAGGCATGACAATCATTCAAGTTTGGTAAACAAGTTCATAGTAGGCTAGAATGTTTTAACAAGCAAAACAAGCATTAGAAAGGGGCAGAGCTAATATAGGAATTAAGTACTTTTGATTAAGCTATCCAAAAAGTAAACTGTAAAATTAAAAAAAAACAGAAATGTAACTATTGTAAATGCAACACTTCTGAGTCATAATTCTTAATTTCATTAGTTATTTCAAGAAAAATATACATTTTATCATCAGGATCACTAGCTGCTTTTAGTGTAGGCATATAATTTTTTAATGTTTTATTTGTAACTTTAATCCTGTCTTTTTCAAAAATTTCATTTATATCATTAATGTATTTAAAGAATGTCAGAAATTCAGAAATTTGATTTTTACCATTTATATCACTGGTATGGATAAATTTTTAAATAATTTAATGTTGTTATTATTAGAATTGTTGCCAACTCTCCCAATTCAGGCGGGAGACTATTTTCGACCGCTCTCTCGCCAACCTGATTTACAATATATTTCTCCCAACTTTTTCTTATTCTTAAAATTTCTCACAATTTTTGTGGAACTTGGCTTAATACTTTGTTATATGAACAAAAAAAAAAGTGATTTTGGATGTCTGAAAGCAATTTAATTTTTTCTGGATTATATCTAAAACAAAACCTTGCGAATTAGATAACTTCTGCTTTGTGAGTGAGAGTGTATACGTATCCAGAAACGTCGTTCTCAAGTTCTCTAATGGGCATCGTGCTCCACTGCGTGTCATCTGGCACATATTAGCCAATGAGGACAAAGCAAGCTCTTATTTGGATGTTCTTTAGTTATTTCGGTCATTTTTGTCCGGAGTTGTGTGAGTACACGTGCCTTTGGGAAATAGTTTTAGAAATTATCATCTTTTGTTATGTCTGCGAGAAAGGTGAAATACTCGTGTACGTTTCAAAAAATTGTACACGGTTGACTTTCCTTCCATTATTTCCTCAAGGAAATATGATAAATTTGTGATGTGTACCGCCTGTCGTTGCGATTTTTCGATTTCGCATGGTGGAAGGGCGGATGTTCTAAAACATGTGCGTACACAAAAACACAAGGATAACATGAGTTGTTTTGAAAAAAATTAAAAATTAAATTTTTTTCTCGGAAAAAAGACCAAAAGTTATTAATGCAGAATGTCTGTTCATGCCTTTTTTGGAGACAACGTGGCACTGAATGATTGGATCACACTGCAGCTTTATTTAGAAAAATGTTTCCCGATAGTGAAATCCTAGAAATACTCAAGTGCAACCAAAACAGGGCAATTGTTAAAGAAATGGATGAAAATAAATCTTCAGTTATTGATTGCATTAAAACAGCTCCTGTCTGCCTCTCAACGGATGGAACAATATACCGATTCAAACTGTATCCAATTTTGTTTCTTTTTTTAATCCAGAGTCTTCAGAAATTGAATCAGTTTACTTTTCGTCCCCACTTTAGAGGACATTTGACGGCTTTAATATAGCACAGCTAATTATTCAACTTTAAAAGAAAATGCAGTCCCTCTGGATAATTGCTAGCACTTGGTGCTGGTAATGGCACAGTATGGTAACTTGAAGACTGGAGTTGCGGCATCTTGAGAAAGGAAAATTCAGATTTCAGATTATGAGGTGCACTTGTCACCTCTTAATTTAGCAGCTGAAAAGGGGGCAGCTTCTTTACCAATAAATGTGGATGAACTTTACAATAAATGTTGATATTTATTATCTTGAAAGGAGTTCTAAAAGGAAGAAAAAATTGAAACAGTTCCAACAGCTGCAAACGCAATTTACAATAGAAAACTTGGTGAAGTTATAAAATCAGCTAGTATTGACACCCAGTGGATTTTAATTGGAAACTGAAAGATGCTGATGGAATTTTTAAAATATAGTGACTGTCAATTATGTTGGCCATCTTGATTCCCCATTTAATGCAGAGTGTGAGAGGATTTTCAGTGTTGTTGGGTAAACGAGGACTAAATTTAGATCTAATATTAGTGATGACAAATTAGAAAAACTTTTTTTAGTGAAAGCAGGCCTACATGACAATTGCTATGAACAAAATTATGAAATTTCTTTCTTAAAGAAAGCAAAATCTGCCACTGTTTATAACATTTGTACAAAAACTGATTAAAGTGTTTTTTTTTTTAAACGATGCTAGTAATAAAAATGTTTTTTATGTGTAAGGTATTTTTGTGTTGCTTGCATTTAAGAATTAGTTACTATTTGAATTCATTATCAAAAACTATATTTTCATCATTTAAAAAGTGCCAATTTTTTAAAAAATTCCTCATGTGGTAGACTGCCAGGGTTAATCATGATAGGCAGGAGCAGGCCGTTGTTTTGCTGCTGCTGTACAACCTGAACTGCTGGGGTTTTATCATTATTATTTTCATTGTTCAAGACATGAAATTAGTTACTACTTTATAGACTTCGGTATAGTACCAATTTTAATCTGTTTAGCAGTTTTGGTGGCTAATTCAAAATCATCACTATCAATGTTAATATTTTCAACAGTAGCACTTTTACATCTAGTCTTATGAACACCAGTTTTAAGTTTAGATAGAACAATGCCTGTAGTGCTAGTCAAATTACACTTACCTCCGAGTTTATTGACCTCTTGGTTTAGTCCTGGAGAAGTTAACTGCAGTCTCAGTAGCTTTATCTTCTTCAGCAATAAAAGGTTTCTATTGAAAGGCCATGAGATAGATCATGGTACTTTCTATTTGTAAATCCAATTTTTGTATACATTGTATAATATATTCATAAGTATTATATTCAGTTTTCTCAGCAGTATCAACCATCTATTAACAGCTGAATTATTAGGTTCAAACTTTGTAGTGACACTTTCGTCCATACAATTATCAGAATCGGCATTAGGCATTGCTCAAGTGCTGATGCTGAGGAGGAGTCTTCCTTATCATTTTGTTCACATTAAATCCAGGAAGGGGAGGACGACTTTTTTAAAAATTGGTAACTGGCTGCAAATGTCTTATGGAATATGTTCATCTTAGTCATTGGCAAAAGACA